ATATATATATATATCTATATATCTATATATATATATATATATATATATATATATATATATATATATATATATATATATATATATATATATATATATATATATATTTCTGTAATATAAATAAATGAAAAAATAGTTAGAAGCATTGTTTCTTTATAGATAATTTAAAAAACAATGATAAAATACAATACGAAATATTGAAAAATTAGACCAGAAACTGATCAAAGCTGAAAATACAGTGATATTTCTTAACAATTGTATCTACGACAGTCTTGACCTTAATTTTATGTATACATATATATATATATATATATAGAGAGAGAGAGAGAGAGAGAGAGAGAAAGAAAGAAAGAAAGAGAGAGAAAGAAAGAGAGAGAGAGAGAATTTGCTTATGTTTTGAAGCGTTTGAATATTTGGAATAAATAAAGAAAATTCATTTACCAACTGACCTGGACATTGATGGAGGCTCCCGCCAACTGACAGCAACCAATGAAAACCCTCCTCTAACCAGGCCAACGTGGCGTACAATTTGTCATCATCAACCAATAGAATTGAATCATTATGAATAAATCTAAAAATAGAAACATTTTCTGGGATTAAGAAACGAAGATTTGGTGGTTCGTTTTGTGAAATGTTTCTCAACTCGTAGACAAATCGTTGCGAATGTTTATAAACAGAAATTTGTGGGTCCCTTACATAGGGCGTGACCGTTGAACCATTTGACGTTGTCGTAGTTGTCAGTTGTGACAGGAACTCATCGATGACGTCATCTTTCTCACTGGTAATCTTTCTTATCTCGTCAACATTTTTTAGCGTATGTTTTGTTTCGTAACGTTTATCACAATTTATTTTGCCTGTCAGTTGAGTTTGCAGGCTTTTTTTTATCAAGATAACAGTCATTTTATGTTTAACATTTACAAATTGTTGATTAAATATTATAAAAAATCACGCTAATATATTTTCAAATATACGAGCTATTTTTGTTAGAATTAATAACAAAAGAATGACTGGCAATTATGTGTAGCTAAATATAACGTCGAACCAATTTATTGCAGCTAATTGAAATTAATAGGAGGCAAAACACACAATATATTTCTCTTCATAGGCAACATTCAGCCAAAAAAAGAATAATTTAAGATGAGAGATGTTCGTTGACTCACCCCATATATCTTCATCCAGTGCTTGCGGCCTCAGAGCTCTCACCTTTAACGGCTTTCTTTGAATTTGTGATAGCAGCCTTTCGTCATTCAGTTGAGTCAATAAATTCTCAGCAGCGCTCATGCTCGCCTTATACTTACCGGCTGTGAACGATGACATTGATGTGGAGCCTTCTATCAGGTCGGCCTCAGTACTCAAGTGAGGCTCATAAGTTATCGAGAATATTCTGTTTGTGGAGTTTAATAAAGTGTAAACGGGCAGTTATAAAGTGAATGCTATTTATCGGATTTGTTGTTATTTGTTTGTTTTATTATTTCAGTAGATTAGGATATCATTATTTATCATCATTTCATTCACATTCAGAAGATTATGATATCATTACATCATCAGTTTCATCATCATCATCATCGGCAGCATTAATTTAGTGTGCTTCATTCAACCACTATTCGTGGCTATCAAACAAAAACTGTCATTCAATACCTAACAGCCAATTTCATGAACGAGTGAATTTTACATCATTAAACAAAGTGCCCGCTTGTTAGCAAACGAACAAAGAACTTGAAAGTAATTTGAATGCACACGTGCAACTAACTGGCCATCTGGCGACATTTTGGGGGAACCGAACTTTCTTACATATCGCCCTCTCTTCAAAATCAGTTTCTCTCCCTTTGCATCCATTTCACCGGAGTTTTTTAATTCAACAACTTCCTGGTCATTGTGGAGTCGAGGCTTTACATCAGATGGTGGTGAAGATTGTAATGATGATGACGTTGGAATTGAAGGAGATGATGATGATGGTGGCGATGATGATGATGATGATGGTGGTGGTGGTAAGGTTATTTTGTGCTGATGATGATCATTCACAGAGTTGTTGTTAGAATTTCGGTAGTTTAGAGAGTTGAACATCTTATTGGAACTTGAACCATCATCATCACCATCATCATCACCATCATCATCACCATCATCATTATCACCATCATCATCATCATATTTCATCAGTCCATCTCGTGCCACATCCTTGACCTCATCAAAATTATTGTTTTGCTCATCAAAGTAGACAACGTAATCAAAGTCAAATATGACGTAATCAGCCAGAGGTATCACGTGACATGCAAACGTGGAAGCGTCGTCGGGAAAGACCGGCTTAAAATTCAGTTTATACCTGCGAATTGGAAAAAAATTTACAAACATTTTAAACAGTCTTGTTAATTTGACAAAAATATAATTATTATGATGCATAATAATTTATTAGCCAATCAACAATTTATAAGTTGATGATTTTGCAGGTATGAAAGGGTGCAAGATGTCATAGGGGGCAAGGGGTGATAGGGGGCAAAACGTGATAGGGTTCATATCAACAAGACATTAGCTCAACACCAACCTCATCATAATTACGTACTTGGTTGCGAATTCTGCTCCTCTGTCATAATCATCATTAATCATCATTTCTTCATTCCATTTGGCGTATTCGTTTACTCCATTTGCAAAATTATTAACTTTTTTGTAGCCAGCGTAGTCACCACCATTGCCACCATCGCCATCATCATCATCATCATCATCATCGTAGACGTCGTCGTCATCGTAGACATCATTGTCATCGTCATCATCGCTATCCTCATCATCATAAATCTTAGTTAATGAGTTTCTAGGAGTTTCTTCCATTTCACTTCTTACTTGCGGAAATAGTTCGTTCTTCTCTCCATCATATCCATCGCCAGCATCATCATAAACATTGCAACTGCCGTATGAACATATTCTATTCCTATTGCCAAACCCAATATAGTTATCATCACTGCCTTTACCACCACCACCATCATTATCATCATAACCTGCCCGGAATACAGAAGCCATATTGCGTGGGGGGTTGCCAGCGTAAACATTGCCGGCCTGCGAACTCTTGCAAACGTCGAAGCATTTCTCGCGGGAACAACAAAACAAACCGCCTGGCAACCAGGCTGATTGAAGTTCAAGGTCAACTCCGATAGCAACGTGCGCCGTGCTTCCCGCGGTCAATGATGACGTCATGTTACGTGCGCATGACGTCACACACGCCTGACACGGATCGTTATGGTGATGATGACGGTTGTGATGATGTTGACGATCATGGTGGTGGTGGTGGTGGTGGCTTTTCGAGTTGAACCTGTCGTGAGGGTGGGGTTAGGGTTAGGATGCATGTGCGACACAAGGTCATGTGATGTGCTGTGATGTGATGTAATAAATTGTGATGCGATATAACAAGTTGTGATGTGATACAACATTACAAAGCAACTGCATGAGTTGCGTCTATATTATCGTTTCATAATACATTTTTTAGTCGTCTATAAATCTACGTAGTTTGAAATAAAGACTTCCAAGCAATTGTTATTATTGAACTTCTAATGGTCGTTACATTATTGAAAAATTGTTGTCACCGACTTGAAACCGATCAACTACTTTTATATAACAGTAAATAATTGCTGTTATCATTGGTAGCATTTTTTATCAACTCCGATAAAAAACAAACAAAATTTAATCATAAAAAGCCGTCTGAACATGCAGGATATGAGCGCAGACAGATTTTAAAAGATCACCAAACACATGTTGCCATCAGCAATACTGATCACCAAAACGGCGCTACATCTTCAGATACATCAAACTCCATGGACGGACAAGAAATAACAACACGAACAACAATACAACATCAACAACACAACAACACACCAACCAACACCAACATAAACATAAAGAAATGATGGGCGCGAAAAACATATGATCAACACGAACAACAATACAACATCAACAACACAACAACACAACAACCAACACCAACAGAAACAACAATACAAAACCAACACATCAACAACAGCAACACGAATACCACATGATTAACACAGCACAATAAAACAGACGCATATTGATAGTGCGGTCATTCTTATGGATATTATATGCTGGAGGACGGTTAGATTGATGATGGCGAACAACATGCAGGTTTATTCGTTCATGTGCCATCAGTAAATTATGTTTAACTCTCGGCATTCATCTATCGCCACACTCCCGCCTACACAACTTTCAGCAAATAACTTCCAACAACTGCCTTACTACTGTTAATATTTTCACAATCAATCTGAAATCGTTTGGTTGTTTTATTTATTGCTTATTTAGAAATTAAAAGTGAATGTGAATGAAATTCTGGCAACATTACATTTAAATCACAGGGAGCAAACACAGGGAATAAAAAATCCGCCAACAAATATTGTCCAGTAGTGTTAATATTTCTATCTATAAGGTACGTATGCATGAAACAATCCGTGGCGTTTCGTTTGAAATTGTGTCATCCATAATGTGGGGTTCGACCTGCGGAGAAATAATGAAGAGGAGTAACACGTGATGCTGATGGGGATGACGGATTCTTTCCAAGACAACTCTCAATTTATTTCCAAGGCAACCACTGTTACGTACATACATACATATACACATGTGTACAGACACACGTACACACATATATACAGACACACATTTATACATGTATACAGACACACATACACACATATCTACAGACACACATACACACCCACATATACACACAACACATGTATGTTCTGCCTGGTTTGACTCTGTACGTAATATGACAAGATAAATGTATAATCAACTTTAGTTGAAGTATGTCATAACAAAGTTTTAAAGAAACAAAAACGTAAAAAAATAAATTTTTCTACAAAATGATAAAATAATTTACACTTCTAGCCAAATTAATTTTATTAAAATGAACGAACCGTTTTATTTCAGCGATCATCGAAATTCAAACGTTCATGTGCCTACGTTTAAGAGAATGTGATTTGGAAATGTTGACAGTTTGCTGCTTCGAAGAAAAAAATGAACACATAAAAAAAGTGAAAAAAGTTCAAACAACTTCATTCTTTTGATCTTCAATAGATTGTATCGACCAGTTCACAAAGTTGTCGGTCTATCAACATAAAATTGAAATCATACTTTTCAAAACTTCTATCAAATGCAACTGGCTCGATTTTCGCAGTAATAAAGACAGAACCGAAGTAAACACACAAAATAATCACAGCTCGCATGTGTATATACAAACAAACTTATATGTTTACAGAGAGAAAGAAAAGACAGATAGAGAGAGAGAGAGAGAGAGAGAGAGAGAGAGAGAGAGAGAGATAGAGAGAGAGAAAGAGAGAGAGAGAGAGGAGAGACAAACACACAAGCAACAGTGCAAAATCATTGACAGAAACATCTAGCTTAAATAAGAATATCCTGGTCTCAACATTTTGTCTATCGTTAGTAAGTTCCTTATTAGAATGAGATTTCCATTTTGCCGACTGAATCCAATGAAAAAGTAACTCTAAAAATGAATGTCGGTAACAAAATGGAGACGCGTACCACCACAGCCACAAGAATGGAATAATTTACGAGTGAGCATATCTTCCTTCTGTCAGCCGAGGTTGAAGCCATTGTTTTGTTTATTTTATTTGTTTTTTTTTCGTTTATTTGTTCTTTTCATTGCTCTAATTTATTTTATTTGTTAATTTGTGTCATTTAATTAGGTTGTATTATTTTATTAATTATGTTATTTGATTCAATTTAATGAATAGTTTGCTTTGTCTCAGTGCAATGTTCTACTTCACACGCGCAAAAGCGAGCATCGAATCCCAAATGAGCAACGCTTGCTTATCACGCCTACATGGTTGGTCGTGTAAATGTTTGATCTGATTATTTTATTGATCCCCTTTGTCAGGGTTTGTTTTGTTTATCATATTTTCTTTTGTATCACATCAGGTGTGGATTAATCTTCAACTTTAAAATTAAATGAAAACACCTCACTAGACTGAAATATGGCACGTCTGGATAACTATAATTTATAGTTAGTTACTCTTAGACCATGGTCTGTTACAATCTCAATTTTTGCAGGCAATTACAAAACTTGAATCAAAATAAATCATTCAACAACTGCTTTCTAAAAAGCAACTCACTCGCAAGCAGAGTATACATCCAAAAAATTTCAGAAATAATCGAGACTCACACTTAAAATAATTTTGCTGTCAGAGGATTATAATTGTTACAAACTGACAATTATTTTCAATTTCGAAGAGAGCTAAATGTGAAAAATATAAAATTGAAATCAACCAAATTCTATTTTTCTCTCTAATTTGACTGTCTGAAATATTTGATAAGTAAATAATAGAGTAAATTAATAGGTAGATTGATATGAAAGTAACTGATAGGTTGATAGCAAAGTGAGTTATATTTAGGAATAGGTTATTAAAGATAGTCAATCAAATTATTTCAAATCACTGTCTTTGAGAATAATTCTTCTTCTTCGTTGAGATGTTTATTTGATGCTAATGAATGGCAGCTGACACGAGCGTGTATAATAGAGAATTAATTAAAGATATTGAATAAGTAGAGATGGCAGTTGAAAATTGAAGTTGAAGGCAGATAATAAATAAATTGTGTAGTGGTTGTGGGGTTGGTGTTGGAATGAGTTCTGTCAAAAATGTTACTGAAACCAGAGCGTGGTAAAAGATAATAATATGAAATCCTGTTATCAGTGTAAGAATTATAGAATTATAGTGGTAAAAATGCTATATATTTATTTATAGTGTGTGTGTGTGTGTTTGTGTGTGTGTGTGTGTGTGTGTGTACGAGTGTGTGTGAACGGGTGTGTGTGTGTGTTGGTGTAAACCCTCAAGTCGACATTCCAGCAATGAAACTGTTGACGTAATGACGTTTAATGATAGCGATGTACAATGCATAACAATGCTAAAACCACATCAATCACATGGAGATAAACAAGCTAACATTAACATTAAACATCGGAACGTACACAATGCAGAATCTGGAAAAATGGAATATTAAATAATAATGCTATAGAAATTTATCACCATGGAACATAACATTTCCCCATACAGTGGAGTTTAAAAATACGAAATTCACATCAACATGGCGTTAAGCGGGCTCCCAACATCAGACACCAAACAACAACGCAACTTCTGTGCAGCGAGTTAACACAACCCAACAACATAAACACGACTTGGAAATGAGAGCACCATTCATTCCATTTTAAATACAATAACAATAAAAATGACAATCTTTCATATTCTTCTCAAATTTAATATAAAAAAAAACAAATTAATTAAAAGATGGCCGGAGGATTGTGATCGAGTTTACTGAGGAGCTCATCCAGAAAGCACAGTTGCTTAAACACTTGTAGTCAATGATCCAGAGTATTATAAAAATAATAATATAAGTTAGATGCACATTTAAGTTGAAAAAACACATAAATTATAACGTGATAAATAAGTACAATATATCCTATAACAAGAAAGTTGCTAGCAGGTAGCAACAAATTGAAATACTGATCAGTCAACGAAGGCATGGTTGTTTTGTAAGCACCACAACAAAATTTGTAGGACGCCAATGATAAAGCCACTCACCAGCCAGGCAAAACGATATTTTGTTGTTCTCAATTTATGCCACAAATTCAACTTACATTTACAATCAAAACATTCTTATCGCTTCGTCATAACTATCATTTTCATCCGTAAAACATTCTATTTTAGCAATCGTTTCACCACCATCGTCATCCTCTCTAGATTTATCATCACCATTATTATCATTATCAGTACCGTCTTCGTTATTGTCATCATCATCATTATCATCATTGTCGCAGTAGTATCGCTATCATCGTCACCATCTCCATCATCATCAGCACTGCTCTTGTTATTATCATATTCATTGTCGTTTGTGCCAAGGTTGCAGTCGTTAAACTCGTCGTCGTCGTCATCATCATCTTAATCGCCATCATTATCATAATAATCATCATCTTTGTCCTCGTAATCATCATCATCACCATCACCATCATCATTATCATAATCGTCGTTGTCGTCGTTGTTGTTGATATGTTTATCATCTTCACTATCATCATCATCGTCATCATCATCATCATTACCATCATCACCACCACCATCATCATCACCACTATTGTCATTATCATCATTATCGTGTATCATGGTCAATTTAAAATTTATTAACCGACTTTTCATCAAAGTGCTTCAACTCCGCGCTGGTCAATCCCAGTAGAGAGGTCAATTTGTTAGGCCGACCGCACAGGAAGCTCCTATCCGTTTCATCCTGTTCTTTATTCCAAGACATCTGGCGGGAAATTTTTGAAATTTTATTTTGATCGTAACCTTTTGTTGTGCCTGTGCGAGCGAGTGACGTGATGTGGCTGCTGTTGTTGTTAGTGGTGGTGGATGGTGGTGGTGGTGATGGTGGTGGGGCTGTTGTGGTTGACGCGTTTATATGCCGCTATCACTTTCTTGTTTTTGACGTGTAGGTGTTTGTCTGTTGATAAGTGTGTTTGTGTGTGTGTTTGTTTGTGTGTGTTGAGTGATGATAACAGCCTATATATTCTGCAGCTTTTGCATAGTGTTGTTGATTATAGTTGTTAATGTAATGTTTGTTATTGCTGTCAGGTTTGTTGTGATAGTTTTGTTGTATGCGATGTTTTTGGAATAGTTTAGTTGTGTGAATTGTTGTTGGGATAGTTTAGTTGTGTGAAATGTTGTTGTTTTTGTAGCTAGTACTTTTATATTGTTAGAATTGATGGTTCATTTTCGCTAGGGTTGTTTGCGATACAACGATGCTATTAATGATACAGCCATCAATGTTTTTGTTGTTGCTGTTGAATAATGCGCCGATGTCATTCCAACTTGTCGTTATTATATTAATATTCTCTCAGCAATATTATTTTGAAAATTATTTAGAAATAAAGTTTAATTCAAGTCTCTTTTTTTTCAAAATGGCTTATATTTTTAATTTTTGTAGTCGCGGCCTTTGAATGTTCAATAGGCCCTCACAGATGAACGATCAAATTTTTTCCAATTCAACGAACAGTTTTAATTCCTCTGGAAAAGTTTTTTCAGAACTTGAGAACTTTCATTTTTCTCAGTTTGCATTTTAACCGATACACCGGTTCTAATTATCTTTCAAATTTTTTTAAATAATAATTGGCATTGAAGATTTTAAATTTCTTAAAACGTGTGGCATAAGTAATATTATTATTATTATTACTATTATTATTATTTTTATTACTGTTATCATTATTATTAGTAGTAGTAGCAGTAGTAGTAGTAGTTGTTGTTTTAGTAGTAGCAGTTATATTATTATTATTATTATTATTATTATTATTATTATTATTATTATTATTATTAGTAGTAGTAGTAGTAGTAGTAGTAGTAGTAGTAGTAGTAGTAGTAGTTTATGTTGTTGTTGTTGTAGTAGCAGTAGTAGTAAAAATTGTATTCTTTTCATAGAAAAAAATATATTTGTTATAATTAATCAATTTGAAATTCAGTAATCAGTTTAAACTTTCACATTAGATGAATTTTTTTTTCAAATAGATATTGTAATCTGTTTCCAAAATCTTTAACACATATCACCGACTCTCACGTTTTGTTTCTTAAGTTTTGAATATAACTAGCTACAAATTTTAAAGTTTAAGATGAAGGTAAGGGCAGTGGAGGATTTAGTAGGCCAGGAAAGCCATAGTAGTTTTTGGCTTCCAGTCAAACTTTAACATTTTAAAATTTTTGCCCCACCTTCAACATGTTTTAAATTTTCTCTTGGGTACGAGTCTTTGAAACGTGTTTTTTGAATAAAACTTCAAATATATTTTTATATAAACTATCAGAAATGGGTGAAGTATTAATAAAGTGTTACTTTTTATTACTGTAAAGTTTTCAGATTAAAATAAACGTTTAATAAAAGTAATAATTTTGCTATGCATTAAAAAGTATTAAATTTGTTTAATTTTTCTAAAAAGTACTTCAAAAATTTGAACTCTGTTCGTTTGTAGTGAAATGTTGAAAATTTTTAAATCTTCAAAATCGTTTTTTTCGGCAAAACAGAAATTCTCACATTCGTTGACCTTTCGATACTGTGGTAATATTGAGATTAGTTGTAGTAGCAGCAGTAAGAGTAGTAGAAATAGTAGCAGTATAGTAGTACTAGTGGTAGTAGCAGTAGCAGTAACAGTAGCAGCAGAAGTAGTAGTAGCGACAGTAGTAACAGTAGTAGCAGAAGTAGTAGTGATGGTGGTGGTAATAGTACTAGTTGTGATAGCAATATCAGTAGTATTAAACTCGTAGAAGTATTCACAGATGTAGTAGTAGTAGTAGTAGTAGTAGTAGTAGTAGTAGTATTAGTAAAGTCAGTGTAGTTGCAGTTGTAGCAAAATAGGTGAAACTATCTAAGGTAAGAATAGTAGCAATATACTTTTGAGAGATATTTTCTAAATCAAGAGACGAGTTGTGTGTTGAATAGTAAGGGAGGCGCTCACATTAACGCAGTGTCATCATGATAAATATATCAAAGGGGTTTATGAAACTGCAGTGCAACGTTAAGTTGCTCGCGCGGTGAAGATGTTGATGCCGAAAATATGCTAAGCTGTGTTTGTTGCTGGCTGTTCTTTGATTGATGGATGTTTGCGCTCAATTTTTCTACATTGATTTTTTGCAAACATACTTTTGGCGTTTTGTATGTAGAAAAAAAAAATTTGAGATGTATGTTTGAGTGTGTGCAGGGAGTTTTCTTTTCGTATTAAAAAATTTTTAGATTCTGGTAACTTGAGTTTTGCAGTAATTTTTACATAAATGAAATTTTTTTATTTACTTAGTAGAAGATTTTTCAGAAAACTAAAGCCACAAAAAATTATTGAAGGTCTAATTTAGGTTATTAATTTTAATTTAAAAACTTTAAACTTTTTTTAACGGTTCATCCCATCTCTCGAAAATTAAATTTAATTAAAATAAAATAAAATTTTGAAATAATGGTTCGATTTCGTTTTTTTAGATTTTTTTGGTTAAGTCCCATTTTTATTTCAATAATTTTTTATTTAATTTGAATAAGAATTACAAGTTCAAACTGAAAAATTGACAATTTAAATTCATGTGAATTTTTATATTGAACATATTATTCATATAATATTTTGTTATATGTATTGATGGATATTTGAATTTAATTTAACTTGACGATTGATAATGTTCAAACAAATTATCCTCATTTTCGTGAATGGAGTTGACCCACCAGAGCTGCATTATTGACAAAATACTGATTCAATATTTTATCTTAAAATGCGAATATTTATTGGTCTTCACATTAGCATTGATATTTGCAATACAACTTTATTGAAATTTAAAAATAATTAAATGTTTCACTACATTTCATACTATGAAAAATAATAACAATTAACTAAACCTAAAAAACAAATATGAAAAAAATGTGGTCAAATTCAGCGTGAAGACCAGGGCATCAAAATGGCAAGATTGTTCAGATCGACCAGCTCTGCGACAACTAAGACATCACTGAAACATCACCACTTACCCGCAAACACCGTCAACAAAGTCAACGTTAAAATGCGAAAATTTAGAATTTTATCGCGAAAGTCCATGAAGAACAACAACAGCAGCAGCAGATGCAGCAGCACAAGTCCAGAAAGAACTGCAATAAACAACAACAAAAAAGTGACTATGCCAGCGTTAACAAAAGAGTGAGAAAGCCCGCTGGATGCGCATTACGAAGACTAACGAACCCACGGTATATTATCATTTTAATAAAATATATTGAATTAATAGAACGGAGCGAAATAAAAATAATTCAAATTTATGCCTCCCAATCGCAACACGCGAACTGAAGATATTAAAAGCGTAAATTAAAAACTTCACTGAGCCCGTCTTATTAGCATACAAGCAGATAAACAAGCATTTGCGAATGTACTTTAATATTTATAAGCGCCTACCTTCAGCCTCTTATGACCTTATGTGCAAACAAATAAATTTTCTGGCACGCACGCACGCACGCACACACGCACACACGCTTGTGTTTGCGCATCGCCACGCCTAGGTATGTACCTATCATCATGTGCCAGTGGTTCGGATGTTGTTGGCTCGTTAAAAGTACAAGCCTCTCTATTTGAAACATTATGCACATAATTTGATTTGTAAGACGGAACATAACCGAGGTCAATTCTTAGTAGTAATAAAATTATTTTAACTTTATAAAAATTGATGGCAGTTTGAAAATATTTTGAAGCAATTTTAACTTGGAATTATAATAGTTAACAGCCATCATTGATATCGTACAGTATTTTTTGTTTATGTGAAACAGTTTGTATGAAATTTTTTAATTTTAAGTCCTGCGTTGGGTCTACACAAAAAACGATGTGTTAACGAAAAAACAAACGATCCACACGTGGCGATGAGTCAGAAGTTTGTTGTTTGTTGAAGTTTGAAGGAGCTTCTACAATGTTCTTAGGTGCAAGATTCATTGAAAAACAAAATGGAACAACAAATTTTATAAAACAAATAAATTTTTCTGATTCAGGCTCTGGGCAAATGCCAGCTATCCGCTGTATACAACATCTTTCTTATAGCTCGTTAAACAATCAATTGCTAAAAAAATTTCGTCTGCTTTAACTAACTTTTTGTCAAACCGCTGTCATAATTTTTTTGATGAATTACAAAACAATTATTTTAACATTGTAGTGATATAAATATAACTCATTCTAATCACACACATCATCATTCCAGCTAATAATATTGTTAACTATTAAACTCCAGTAAAGACCTTCAAAACCACCATCATCATCACACTTACCATCACCGTCACCATCACTCTCTGTTATCACCATCATTATCATTGTCATCATCATCATCACCACCATTCCAACCAACACAAGGGCACACCACACTCACATGACCCGGCAACACCTCGCCCTCCACGTGGTACATCAAAGGAACTGGGTGGCTGCAGAAGTTTTTCAGGATCTCCTCGACAACATCAGCACTTCCGGATGTCTTGCTGCTGGATTTTAAATATTCATTATCGTGACTGGTGGTGTGGTTCACTGAGGTGTAAAGGGGTGACAAGTTGAGTTGGTTGATTGTCACTTCAATCCTTAAGTTCTGTCCTGTTGGCGGTTCGCGTAAAAAATCAATCAGTCAATCAGTTATTAAACCAGCTGAATATTTTTTAAAGTTTATGCAATCATTTAGTAGAAATTGGTATGAAATTCGTAATTGCATCAATAAAGTTTTATTGCTCTTCAAAATTTAATGTCGGTAGATATTTATGCTTGTTTGTGTGTGTGTACGTGCAAGTGTCTGTGGTGGTTTGGTCTTCTATGAGTGTGTGTGTGTGTTGTGTATGTGTGCAGTGTTGTATACATTGTGTGTGTCCTAAAATTCAATGTAATGTACGGAACTTCACTGAATGCTTCACGTCCCACTTAACTTCCATATTAGTAATAATAATGCTTGTGCAGAAATAAATTGGAGCATTCCAAAATTGTTATACATAAATATGCACTAAAAGTTCTCCTGGATGAAAGTATGCGTCAGTCAGCCCCTTCTACACACAGCCCCTACACACACACACGCATCGACGTACGTACTTGCACTAAATAAATTCAAATTTATTATCAGTAACACACACATACACAGGCGCACCCAGAAATATAGATATCTACAACTACATCTACACATAAACACACACATATATAAACGTAGAAATCTACATCTAAAAACACACATAAACCCACTCACACGTACACACGCGCAAACACAAGTAAACATGTTGTGCGTGAGTCATTTCATGCATGCCTGGCGCTAATAAAGTTGCAAAGATGGAGAATATTTCATTAATGGCTCATTTTGATTGAAATGGCTTCTCCGTCTTTTTTTTTTCTTATCAATTACATCAAACGGTATTATTAATTTGCAGCAAGTTTATCAATTTTAATGGCTTACATTACATCCTACCACAGAAACATTACTTACCGGCTGAAGGTGAAACTTGTTTGGAAGAACAAAGCTCACGTTGAATGGTCCTTGCGACCATGAGCAACATGCTGCTATCTATCAAACTCATTTGTTTCGTAAAAACTCATGTGTTTCGTTATCATACCATGCCACCACATATTTTTAATGTGCTGTTTGCCTCAAACATGTAGTGTTGGTTGATGTTCGTTCTACACATAGATCCATTTTTATCGATTTAATTAGAACAACAAATTTTGAAATTATTAGTAACAGAGAAAAAAAGAAAAAAAAACATTATTATCTATAACCTGCCAGGAAAAAATAATCTTAAAGTTATTGTCAGTAATCTTTTAAAAGAAGTTACTGGTACATATTGGAGTTCGATTAATTTGAGGTGTCCTGATTATATGGAAAAGTTGAAAAGTTAATGCGATCATTGTCATGGTTTATATCACTCTTATCATGATTGACATCATCATCCTAATTATTATCATCATCCCGCTTGATATCACGTGGTTCATCACGTTTATCATTGCTATCTTTGTCGTTATTGTTATCATCACAATCACCGTTATCAGCAAACATTATCATCATCGTCATTGTTTTTGTTGATTCTTAATCTTTAATCGGTAAACAACAATTTGATCGTTTAATTCTTATTTAAATATTCTTTTATTTATTTTAATCGTTTATCGTTTATATATATATATATAAATATATATTTTTATAAATTTCCGTAATAATATATATATATATATATATATATACGAATATTTATATGGCGCTAATTAAAAAGTTTTTCAAAAGCGCTTACAAATAAAATAACATACAAAATAGTCAAAGACAAACGTTCATCAAACAAATAAATCAAACATTAAATAAACATTAGATCAGTAAAAAAAACATCAACGATTGACACTACAGCGAAAATAAATATGTTTTCAACATCTTCTTAAATTTCGCAACACCCAGAGCAGGGTCTCGTAGGTCTTTGGGAAGACCGTTCCAGACTCTAGGACCAAACACGGCAAAGCTTCTAGCTCCAAGTTTCGTTTGAGCCAACGGCACCGACAGATAGTTTAAATCGTCCGAACGCAGGCCAAGGAAAGATGATGCTTTCGACTGACATTTGTTCTTCAAATATTCTGGTGCGGAATTATTCACACTCTTGAACACTATTGTGCAAACTTTGAAAATTATTCGCTTGTCGACAGTCAACCAATGAAGGTGAGCAAGAATCGGAGATACATGATCAAATTTATACGCACCATGAACAATTTTTGCTGCACGGTTTTGAATAGACTGTAACATTCTAATAGATTTATCGGGTAAACCATAATACATACTGTTGCAGTAGTCCAACCGAGAGGGAATGAACGCATGCATTAAACCTTCAATCGTGCTTTTGTTCAAGGATTTTCTTATCATCACACTCATCGTTATCAGCAAACATTATCATCATCGTCATTGTTTTTGTTGTCTGCATCTATTTATTAAGGAGGTTACTCTACAAGTCATCTTCATGCCTTCCCCTCCCAACCCAAACAGACCGCTAATCTGTTATTTCTTCAAAAAACCAAGCGAAACACTCAATCGATATAAAGGAGAAAATAAATATGCTGAAAGTCATAACAGACATTGTCGGCCTCATTGCTGTAACATTATAAGTAGCAGCTGCAGCAAAAGTAGCAGCTTCAGTGATGAGAGTTGTTGTGTAATAATGCTGGTAAAAATGATGATTGCAAAGATGACAATGATGGCAAAAATTTTTTTATTCGGTGAGTTTTTGAACTGTTTTTTTTTGTCTGGAGTGTATCTACCAGAAAGTTATTTGCTTAAGGATGTCTCATATTTTTAAATCAACAAAACAAAAAACTAATTATGAGAAGGAATAATATATTTCATGTTAAACTAATGACTAAATTTTTATTTAATAGATAAGTATTAATCTAGAACTAAATAAATTTAATAAATAAATAAGTACGATCAAACAAATTCATTGACAAAAACGTGTGTCACTAATTGTCATCTCATTCTTCAGCCTGGCATCCCGCCCAGCCCAGTTTCAACTATTCAACACTGAACCGTTCTCCAACGAACGCAACAATCCACATCGTCTGTCAAATGATGTCACAATCGTAGAAATGCCGAGAAAATGGTAATTATCTTAATGTTCAGGTGGCAAGAAACATATTCTCAAGGGGCAAATAACATAAATTAGTTCAAGCAATATCTAAATAGGAACAGTTAAAAATATTAAAGTTATAAACAGTTCAGGTTGATTTCATGCTATGTTATCTAACCACTGATAAAATTTTTAAAATCTACTTGGTGTGCAAGAAAGGTTTTTCATTGTTAAGGCAATATGCAATAATTTTCGACAGAGTCATGCTTTTAATCCCAGCAACTGTTTGAAGATTGCAGTTTTCAATTTGGTAGCGATGTCGGTGAATAACATACAACTTCTTGAGAGGTTCACTAACATTAAGAAATTTTTTTTGCATACTGAGCAGGTTTGCAAAAGGAAACAAATAAAAAGTTCTTGTTGCTGGTACTAAGATTTTAGGTTGATCCAACAACAAACACAAAAGAGTATTGTTTTCGGGCTTACACGTGGAGAAACAACAGATAACACCAGTTTGTTTGTGATTAATAATAAAAATAAATAATTACATCTCTATAATATATAAATATGTGTGCAAGTGTGTGTGTGTATGTGTGAGTGTGTGTGTGTAAGTGTAAGTGTGTGTGTTTAAGTGTGTGTGTGTGTGTAAGTGTTTGTGTGGGTGGGGAGGGTGTGTGTATGTTTCTTACATATGTATTACTTAACTTATGCATAATGCCAACCAATTTACAGCAGCAGACACAGCAGACAAAAACACACACACACACTCAAACATACAAAGACATCTCTATTTAGAACAACACACACACAAACAAACAAAAACATACCTCTCCTTAGTACAAAACTCCTGTTGATCGGGATCGTGGCATTAAAGTTCCGCACATCCGGTTGATGGATCACCTGACTACTGCTGATGTCATCAATGTATTTCCGGTTTTCATGCAACACATTGGAAGATGTATAAATGACATCTGAATGTGGTCATAATAAAATTATTATTTTTCTGTGTGTGTGTGTTACTGTGATTTTTCATTTTCGTTGAATTATTTTGTAATGCGTTGAAATTGATTTAAAACGTTTAAAATGGCAAACGTTATGTATTATAGTTCGGGGGTTTTATTTGAAATGTAACGTCGAGTGGCATCTATGGGGGATTTTAATTTATGGGTTGTAACCTCATCAACAAGTGTTACATAACATTCAGAACATTTTAAAGTATTATATAATATTCAGAACATTCAGTAATGCATGCCGTTTAACTAAACAAAAAGTACTTAATTATGGATCATGTGATAGTAAAATATTAGCAACGTAAAATATATCAGAGACCAAAAAAATTCCGTGTTGCTATGCCGGTTCAAATATTGTAAGTGCAAAATATTTAATTTAATATCCAAGGTACAAATTGCGAATGAGTTTCATCCCAGTAAGGTGTAAGTATGACGGTAACAATGCAATGACGATGATGGTGATGATGGTTATGATGATGATCTGATGGTGATGATGGTTATGATGATGATCTGATGGTGATGATGGTTATGATGATGATCTGATGGTGATGATGGTTATGATGATGATCTGATGGTGATGATGGTGCTGATAATGGTCTGATAACTTTTGTGCCGGTAATGATGTAAGGATAATAATGCGATCAGCATGTTGATAATGATGTGACGAGTGAAATGATAATGGTAGGTGGCAATGATGATGATGATGATGATGGTGGTGGTGGTGGTGGTGGTTTTTCATTTCAACAGTGCATGCATCATATGGTTGCGTGGTGGGCGCATTACAAGGCATCGTAAAGTACCATTTAGAAAGATATTACAAAAAATTATTCCCTATGTATGTATGTATATATGTGTGGTGTGTGTTTGCTGTTTTTAAGTCACCATGAAAAAACATTTCCTGATGAAGTTCATAAAACTCTCGTTACAAACACGTACATGCATCATAAAATACTACATTTAACGTTATAAATATAATGGATACATATGATTATTCACAAGAGTTGTGTTTGTTGGGGTGTGTGTGTTTGTGTATGTATTTTTGTGTGTGCCCGTGCTTTCACATGCACACACACAGACAAAAGAATGAAAGAATATGAATTATTAATGAGTAGACAATTGGCTATTATGAAATGTGTGGTCGGTTTGGAATGTTTGATAAGCAGGGGAGTAATAGCAACAGCGTTATTATCGTGTTGGCTGGCTGAACGCGCAGCTGTTATATTAAATTGCAAGACGCCTAGCGTTTTTTTTCTACATTTTATTACCATCTAATAAACAAGAAAAATATTTGACAGTAAAGTCAAAATGGGTTGCAATTTTTTAAAATTAATTTTAAATTTTCTTAAATGCAAAACGAAATGAATGATGGCAGGAATTTAAATAAAAAGTTGAAAGGAATTTTTTATGGATGGTCATCAAATTAACTTGACAATTGCAAATAAAAATTTAGCACCCCAAAACATTTAAAAAATTTTTTAAATTTACGACAAAACTAAAAAAAATTTTCATTTATTATAAACTTTAAACCAATTTGATCATATAAGATATGAAGTAAAATTTAACGTTTAATGAACACGTTAACTCACAATCTTTACGATGTTATTATCTTCCAAAAATCCTTATTCATCGTGAAAGTAAATAAATAAAAAATAAATTATATATATACATACATACATACATACATACATACATACATACATACATACATACATACATACATACATACATACATACATACATACATACATACATGCATACATACATACATACATACATACATACATACAAGGAAGTACTTGTATGAAGAGCTCATAAAGATATTAATTTAATTCTTAACGGCGTGATATCTCAACTCTGCAGAACTCAGCACTCTGAACTTTTTCCTCCATATTAATTTCTTCTCAGTGGACACTGTTACTGTGATTGATGGCTCGAATGTAACATAGACATTTGTACACTTTGAACTACAGCTCCATGTAACTTCAAAAAATTTAACAACAATGCAGTACAGCATACCAGCCGGTTAATCGAACCACCATCGGTTAAAGAGACCAACTGCATGCTTTTCAATGGAATGGAATTTAAACCGTATCTATACGAAACGAAAAATATTTTACTAAAAAAATTATTTAATGTTCAATAAAAGAAAAGCGATTGTAAAGGAAGAAAGCTGCGACAATGAGATGCACACTAGGATGGCTGGCAAATGGAGCATCAAAATATTAAAGGCTCATACGAAAGGAATTGCCGACGATGTAGCTAAAGTAAAATTAAACATAAAAACGTTGGGATAGTAATTTTAGATTGGATATGTATCGCAATTACATTTACGCGTCACGTTCTCTCTGTGCGTGATTTTTTAAAAATAATTATACCGAGATTCGTGTTTAGTCGGTGAGTGTGTAAATAAGTTTGCAAACATGATTTTATTTTAAAATAAAAAATATATAAAACAAAAAGTTCATTTGATCTTTTTGTGAAAATTCTGAATATGCGTGTGGGAGCGCCTCCAACAACACATACATTCGACGAGTTAATAAATAAAATAAACGCCAGTAATTAAATGCTGGAAAACAATGTAGCCAGCAGCAAATGATTTACATTTATCAGAACATCACGTGACAAGCTTTATGCATTTGTCTCGCAGAAGAGCGTATCATTCATTAAGAGAAGTGAACTAGTGGCACGCGATGGCATGCATCAAAATAGCGGCAAGCCAGGCTTGCCGTGTGTCACAATTTACTGAATTAGTAAGTGAATTCCGTGTGTAGATGCTTTGTTTACCTACTCTACATACTTTACATATAACAAACAACTTGTTTTACTCTCTGTGATAACACATTTCCGTGATATCATTCATTCAACAACATTAAGTGACATCAACGAAATCATCAACTATCGACAATCAATATTCAATCAATTAGTTTATTTATCAACACAATCCAGTGAGCCACCATCAGAATTTTGTTCAGCATCGTATCATGCATCAGCCATCCCCCCAACCGTTTTGCTCGCGAGGCAGTTTTTAAAATTGCAATTTGTTTTGAAAGGAACGCTGTTGAGAATGAGCAATGAATAGAAGGAGAGGAGAGTGTATGAACGTTGGAGAAACATTAATGGCAACCTGACACAATTTTGCTGGAATTTTTAATAATGTTTGAAAATTTTTAGCAAAAGGTTATTGTATGCAACATGTTATTAAGCCAAACGATAAAGTTGATTATTTTGTTCAATTTAGCACCGATGTTAAAATTTTTAAAACCTCAATGTTTCTACGTGTTTCCATGCCAACCTGCTTATTTTCTTGTTTACTATATTCGAATGTGTGTCTATGTTTACATTCATTTGGCAGGTTTGTAGATAATGTTTTAGTATTAATTCTTGTGTAAATTGTGCAAATATATTTTTGTATGTTAAATTAATTCTTGATGTAACGCACCGATTTATTTTTTTTTCAAGAGGAACTTTTAAATTATGAAACTTTGTTGGACTGCTTTGTTGATCGGCGGCAGCTTTTTAACATTTCTATCGAAAGCCACCTCCAACGGCACGTTCATTAATTTCATGTTTTCCAATTTTTCTGATGTCATCAGCTTGCAGAAGTTTAATATCAGAGAGCTAGGTTTAACATTAAAAATTAAACAATGATGTTTGTTCTTTGCAGAACTGGTGAACATAATGAACAGAAAAATGAAGTACGATCTACCGCACTGCTCACAAACGTGGTTGAAATTTCCTCTTAACCAAATAACTGGCAATGAGACAAGTTTCAGTTGGTTGAAGGATGGTTCCTTCATGGCCGTGTGTTCCGAGCCAGCGGACATCATCATGATAGTTATGTCAGGTCATCTATCGAACGTTCAAATTTCAACATACCAAATAATTCAATTTTTTCAAGAACGAATAAAATAATTGACACTTCGTAGACAAAGATATTGAAATAAAATGGTTCAAAAAAAGTGCAAACAACTCATGGATTTTTACTTGTCTCAAAGAAATGAACGTCGTCTTTCCTAACGAAGAACACTTCATTGAGCTTGTCTTGCAGGTGTTTGACAAGGATGATGATAGTCTACTGGCCAAAAAAAGAAACCAAAAAAGCGTAAAAAACAGAGCTGAAATTTTATTGGTTTACAACTATTTTGCTTATTTATTACTCATTAAAAACAATTTCAATAATTGAACTAGCAGTACAAGTGTAGTTTGAAATCTATCTTGAAAAATTGTTTGCTCTACCCATTAAAATTTATTAAAAGTACGAAGAGCAAGAAATCTTTTCTTCTCCCGATGTTGACACGGTAAAGGTCAAATGCTCAATTGACGTATCAACGCAGAATATTCCATCAATTAAATGTCTAAATTGTCAAAAAGAAACCATTTACGATTTGACAGCAAAAACTAAATTTGAAGAATATAAACCGCAAAAAAATTATTCTGAAAAAAATTATTCTGACTATAACACTTTTAAAACAAGAGAGCCGAATTCGACAAATGATATGAGCAGCCCAAAGTTGACCACCGAGTTGGTTGCACCAAAAAATGCAACTTCCTCTCCAGATCAACCTGGTTTATCAACGGTTATTATAGTGGTCATTGTTTTGGCTGTTGTTATCTATTTAGTTTTAGCACTCCTACTATTTTACTGCTTATGGAGAAATCGTGAGTTTTCAAATATTTGTAGAATACATTTTAAATTTGATTAAGAGTTTTAACAAATTTAAAATTGTTGTAAGATGAACGTTTATATTACGATACAACCGTCAGCCAGATAAATAAGTAAATTTTAGAATCTTTCATCGTTTAGAAAAACAAAGGCTTCTTTGAAATAGCTTCATGATGATTAAATATTTTTTAAAAGTGTTTTACAATTTAACTCCCATTTTTTATCAAACTTGTGTTCAGCTAGGTTACGATATGAAAAAAAAGTATATAAATTTGATTTTTAACATTTATATAAAAAGCTTAATTTATTTAACAAATGTTGTTTTTAATGCATTAAGTCAAATTCATTGTCATAACTCAAAAGAATAATTTTTGAAAGTTCATGAATCAGATGATTATTATTATTTAATGATAAACTAAACACGCCACACACGTATATTTTTCGTAAAGAAAGCGTAAATATTTTCACTTTCTTTGTGGGAATATATTCCAACTTGCAGTGCTAAAATTAATGTCAGATAATAAGGAAGTAATTGAAGAAGCTGCAAAAAAAGAACAAGAACCAAAAATTGCTGACAAAAAAAATGAAGTAAAAAATAAAGAAGCAGAATCGGGAAATAAAAAACAAGAAAGAGAAGAAACTGAAAAAGACAAGAAAGCCGAGGAGAAAAGCATAAAAAGTGAAGAATCAAGTAGAAGATGTTTTTAATTATTTTGTGAACTAGAAATTTTTATAAATTCTAATAATATAAAATCGAACTTGTACAGAGGCAGCAGATTTAGATATTCCAGCAAAGAGGGAATCGATGACTCGGGCAGCTACGGAAGATAATTTTTCATCCTCACAATCGCCACCAAGACAAAGGCCAGTGGTTAGTACTCTAAGTGATCCACGTCAACCTTCAGCAGGTTCACCACAACGAAATATAGTTTCTGCTTTTCCATATAGTCAACTGCAACCACCTCGTCCTGGATATCCGTATGGTCAACCCAGGCCCATACCTTCTGGCTATCCTTATGGTTCACCGCGACGTCTACCACCTGGGCAACCACATCGTGCGCCACGATTTCTACCTCCTGGTCAACCACATGACTCATCCCGACCTCCATTTTCTGGTTACCGTTATGGTTCAGCGCAAACTCCACTACCTGGTCAACCATTTGGTCCTCCACTCTCCAGTCAAGCATATGGTCCGTATGGTTCACTACGATCGACATCTACGGAATTTCTGTATGGATCGCGTCGACCTCCGCCCCCTGGTCCATCACGATTTTTTTCAGCCGATCAACTCTATGGACCTTCTAACAATTATCCGTTTGACAATGCGTACAGATCATCACGCCCACCTTTTCCCAATCAACCACAGGGCCCTCTCCGACTTCCACCTCCGCGTCAGTCGTACGGTTCACCACGAACGTTCCCACCAGGTCAGCCGTATGAACGTCTTCGAGCATCACCTGACCAACTACGTGGGGCTCCGCGTCAAAGCCCTTTTTATCCTTCCAACTCCTCATGACAACAAACATAAATTACGATTATTCAATCGGAATAGTTTGGAAATTATTTCAACTATTCAGAGCACCGTTCATTCAATAGTTCTAGTTTTTTATTAGTCTAAATAATTATTCGAAATTTTTACAAAAATTAAGAACATTTAAGAAATGTTGTTTTCGTGTGTAACTTTATTTTTAACAATAAAAAATTTATTTTTAACTACATCAAATTTGAAAATGAAAAAATATTTTATGGACAGAAAATTATGCCTGTTGCTCTGCGTTACATTTTAATGACTCCATAAATTAAGTCGTGAACTTAGCGGCACGCAACAAATCGCCATCCTCATATCCGTTATTTCTACTTTCCATGGAGATTGGTATTGACTGAATGAAAGGAAATCGTGCGGTTAATCTCGCTCTCCAAATTACTTCGCACATGTTTGTAATCGTTGTTTATATTTCAAAAAAATAGTGGCAACTGACGAAACCTCATTACATCTTTAATTAGATAATTTTGCTCATTCAATTGTAACTCTTTAAGAGTCCCATATTATTAGTGGTGATTCAAAATATCACGAATCGTGTTAATTTTGGAATATATGGTATTGTTTTTTATGTAGTTTAGTAATGTGACGTAATTCAATTTTTATATCCAACATGACACGTCCGGCTAAATATATAAACACTGAGCCATTGTGAAGTCGGGTTTGAAATCGCCTTCTTACGGCGATCATTGTGACACGTTACGTGCTTCAATTTTAAACAAATCTCCGAAGATAGGACGACGTGAGGAAGTAATTGTGAGTTCCTGGGTAGGACATCTGTCTGCATCGACTCTAACCAAAACAACAGAACAACTTGTATTGCTGCTTGTTTCAGTGCTCTGGCAAATTACAGGAAAAATAAATCACAACAAGCCGTCCTAACATTACAAATTGAAATAATTAATTTATAAAAAGTTTATAGCACGGTAGTAACAGTAATTACTGTAGTGTAGTACTTTACATGAAAATAAAGATTTGTAAATGATTTTTAGTTGATTATATTTTAATCAAATCAAGCACAACAATTTAAAATTAAAAAAAATTTCAAAAGCTTTTCATTGTAAGATTTTTTGTTTGTTATCTGATTAAAAAAAGGCACTCCATTCCTTTTCTTCAAGCTTCAATTGATCATCATTCATTTCCTCCAACAATACTCACTCATCCATTAATTCCTTCCACATTCTTTCATCCACTCATGTTCACTTGCTTATTCTTCCTACTTCCTATCTATTCAGCCGTCCATTAAACATTAACGTTTCACGTGCACCGGCTGATTCTGTGAAATTTATATTACCGGGACCACCTACATATTTTTACCGCAATTTATGACATAACCGCAAACTTTTAAAGATTTTTGGTCGAATAGACATTTATTTATGATATAATAGAGATGAACACTAAGCGAAGTGAACATTTTTTATACAAAAAATTTATAAAGTTCCTGATTAAGTGATTTGACATCATTCATTAATATAATTAATGTTGGTATTCAACAATGGAAGGTTGAAGTACCTGCCAACGTGCGGTTGTACTGTACACATTTCGAAATGTCCGGTTTGCGCCAGAATTATTTCATGGACGGTGCTTGCCTCAAATTAAAATAAGTGCACAAAATAATTTTTTTAAAGTATTTGAAAATTAAAAACTTGTTGTGTTTTATCGTTAGTTGGAAAGCGAAATAGTTTCACATTCTTGAGTCAGGATTGTTTTAAAGAAATATTTCTGAAACAAATTTCAAATAAAATGTTTGTAATAAATGATTTTTAAGATATTTATATAAACATTTTGTCAATAAACAACCTATCTGCTTTGAAACATGAGAAATAAAAGGGTTGTTTTATGTTTGCATAGCTTGCAGGATTTTATTACTTCTATGATTGTACTCTGATTATACTCCTTTTATTAGTTTACGTTTTTATTTCTTTTTTGACTACAGCAATTTCAAAGCATGTTTTTGTGCTACAAATTCTCTATAGTATTTTCCTCCAAGCAAACGCTACAACAAAGTCCAACGAACGAGGTATTGAGTATTCTGCCATCTGCTTCTTGTCTACAGCCGACCAACGTGCGATACTGGCGTAGTTAATCAATTAAATTCAATTATCCTATCTAAAAATTATGTGAACTTTTCAATTTTAAATGTAATTTTAATATTTAAAATTTTAAAAACTCTAAAACTTAAATATCATCTACTCGAGCTGTAGCATTTCTTATGTCATGTCATTCTTAATCTTTAATCGGTAAAAAACAATTTGATCATTTAATTCTTATTTAAATATTATTTTATTTATTTTAATCGTTTATCGTTTATATATATATATATATAAATATATATTTTTATAAATTTCCGTAATAATATATATATATATATATATATACGAATATTTATATGGCGCTAATTAAAAAGTTTTTCAAAAGCGCTTACAAATAAAATAACATACAAAATAGTCAAAGACAAACGTTCATCAAACAAATAAATCAAACATTAAATAAACATTAGATCAGTAAAAAAAACATCAACGATTGACACTACAGCGAAAATAAATATGTTTTCAACATCTTCTTAAATTTCGCAACACCCAGAGCAGGGTCTCGTAGGTCTTTGGGAAGACCGTTCCAGACTCTAGGACCAAACACGGCAAAGCTTCTAGCTCCAAGTTTCGTTTGAGCCAACGGCACCGACAGATAGTTTAAATCGTCCGAACGCAGGCCAAGGAAAGATGATGCTTTCGACTGACATTTGTTCTTCAAATATTCTGGTGCGGAATTATTCACACTCTTGAACACTATTGTGCAAACTTTGAAAATTATTCGCTTGTCGACAGTCAACCAATGAAGGTGAGCAAGAATCGGAGATACATGATCAAATTTATACGCACCATGAACAATTTTTGCTGCACGGTTTTGAATAGACTGTAACATTCTAATAGATTTATCGGGTAAACCATAATACATACTGTTGCAGTAGTCCAACCGAGAGTGAATAAACCGCATGCATTAAACCTTCAATCGTGCTTTTGTTCAAGGATTTTTTTATAGAACGTATTTTATGTAATTGAGCAGCGCACACTTTAGTTAGTAGTTTGATGTGATCAACAAACGTCAATCTTGAGTCAACGATCATTCCCAGATTAGTGGCATTACTGCTACACTCAATATTATGTCCATCTAGAGTAACGAAATCAATCTTGACTCGCGACAGCTGCTGCCATGTGCCTACTTTCATCAGTTTAGTTTTATCCTGGTTGAGTTTCAGTCGATTTGATAACATCCACACACTCACCTCAGTCAAACAATGCACTAACCTAGTAACAGCATTTTGAAATTTATCGGCAGGACAGCTGACAATCATCTGTATGTCATCTGCGTAGGCTTGACAAAACACCCCAGATTTATCTATTATTTCTAGTACGTCGGACGTATATAAAAGAAACAGTATCGGTCCCAAAACCGACCCTTGTGGCACACCAGATGTGACAACCTCTGTTATTGACAACTCATCGTTAAATAAAACCTGCTGTGTTCTTGACGTGAGATAAGAGTTGAAACATGAATGAGCAACACCCGTGACCCCAAAACTGAAGTGGATTCGTTTCAACAGTATCTCATAGTCGACGCAGTCAAAAGCCGCGCTCATATCTAGGAACGCTAGCAATGAAATATCCTGTGCATCCACAGCCTTGTATAACACCGACGATATATGCAGCAGAGCAGTTTCCGTTGAGTGGAACTGTCTGTAGCCTGATTGATGAGCAGACAACAAGTTGTTACGCGCCAGATACTTCAATAGCCCCCGAGCAACGATACGTTCGATATATATATATATATATATATATATATAACAACAATATTGCCAAAACTGGATATGAGTAATGTAGGAGCTACTTACAACGACATAACCGAGTCAATCTTTTCTTCAATTCATTTTGTTGATGTCTGTTGACGGCAGATAGTTAGCCAGCTATCTATCTTCATAATAAACAGAATGTAGTCTATCCAGGAACCAGCCCTTTCTAAACAACCAAACATATATTTTACTTGTACAAATTATTAAAGTGAGCGCGCCATATTTTGGCGATATTAACTCTATTAAAATCGTTACGTTGAATTATCAGAGATAATATGGAGAGAAAATGGTAAAAACAAATAAAACATTAATGCAAAAATTAATAATTGATGTAATTTTATTTGTAACAAAATTTGTGATTAGTCCACTGCTAAAATGACAACAAATTGATAAGAGAAAGAGAGAGCCGAGTTGTGGTTAAAATTGCAAACAAATCTTTCAAACAACACAACGGACTAACTGGATTGAAGAATTATTGGTACAGGAATATGTTTGGAAGTTTACAAAAAAAATTTATCTTGTCTTACGTAAAAAATTTGATTTTATGTTACAAACTTACCATAAAAAGTACATCCCGAAAATACCGGTTGAAGATAGGAAGCGCAGAATTTGGCTTTGAACCGGCATCGTGATGTGTTATGTTAAAATAAAACAACAACGTGTTCACTGCACGCAGAAACGCTGATAACGTTTTTATTTGAGGGTTTTTAAAATTGGTGTAGGAAGTTCAACTTTACTGGAACAAAAAAAATTTTTTAAACAACAACGTGTTAAAATGTTAAAAACAATTTTAAATGGTGAATAAATTTATATAATTCATTTTGATTGATTGAGAATAATGAGTTTGGAATGAAAATGGAACAAAATTGTTGCAGCACTCAATTGAGTTTATTGATTGAAATGGTTTTGTGGTGGTGATATAGTTTTTAGTTGTTTATATTTATGACGATCAACTAAAGCATGTTACAATCAGGTCCACTCGAACGTATCTTTCAAGTGCTTCAATGGCTTCCAAACATAAGCACAAAATCGTTATTTGTTGATTTTACTGTTATGTAACATTGTTTGTCTTTTGTTTATTTTCTTTACTTTCATTTTTTCGTGAATATTTTAAAATTTTTAAATTACG